ATATGGGAGAGATTTGTATAGTTGACAACATATATGCTCTGGTTGACTCTGGGGCAGCTGAAAATTTTATAGACTCTGGCTTTATAAAGAGAAACAACATTCCCATCAGAGAGAAGGAGATACCCTTGGCCGTTGAGGCCATAGATGGTAGACCATTAAGTTCTCCAGTTGTTACTCATGAGACTGTACCATTACACATGTACACAGGGGTTTTACACTATGAAACCATTCGATTCCAGGTCATCACCTCTCCCTCTTCACAGTTAGTATTAGGGTATCCATGGTTACGTGCTCACAATCCCATTTTTGACTGGGAGACAGGGCAAATAAAATCATGGAGTGAGGCCTGCCACGAGTCTTGTACGTTGGAAGTCACACCTTTGAATTCTATTGAGGTACCTACCAGTCCTCCTTTGTCTACGGTTATACCCCCTCAGTATTTATCTCTAAAGACTGTTTTCGATAAAAGGGAGGCTGAGAAATTACCGCCTCACAGACCCTATGATTGCGCTATTGACTTGTTGCCTGGCACTATACCTCCAAAGGGCAGGGTGTACCCCTTATCGGTTCAAGAAAACCGTGTCATGGAGGAGTATATTAAGGAATCACTAGAAAAGGGGTTTATTAGGAGATCCTCTTCTCCAGCTGGAGCAGGGTTCTTCTTTGTATCGAAGAAAGAAGGTGATTTAAGACCGTGTATAGATTATAGAGGTCTAAACAAAATCACTATCAAAAATGCATACCCTATACCTTTAATTACAGAATTATTTGACAGACTGAAACATGCCACTGTGTTCACTAAATTAGACCTTAGGAGTGCATACAATTTGATACGTATAAAGGAAAATCACGAATGGAAGACTGCATTCAACACTAGATCCGGTCATTACGAATATACTGTTATGCCATTTGGGCTTTGCAATGCCCCAGCAGTATTCCAAGAATTTATTAATGATGTCTTAAGAGATTTTATTCACACATTTGTTATCGTATACTTGGACGACATTTTAATATATTCTACAGATATACACACTCATCACAGACATGTTACGACAGTTTTGAAGACCCTTCTTGCTAATGGTCTTTATTGCAAGCTAGAAAAGTGTCTGTTTGACCAAACCGAAGTCCAGTTCTTGGGGTATTTGATTTCCGCTAAAGGTTTTCGTATGGATCCCCAGAAGCTTGCTGCTGTAATAGAATGGCCTCTACCGCAAGGTCTGAAAGCTATTCAGCGTTTTCTTGGGTTCTCCAATTATTATAGACGTTTTATCAAAGGTTTCTCGTCCATTGTAGCACCTATTACCCGTATGACTAAAAAGGATGGCAATACTCGTGTTTGGTCTACCGAGGCACTTCAGGCTTTTGAATTTCTTAAAACTACGTTCGCCTCTGCACCTATTTTACAGCATCCTGTCCCCTCACTGCCCTATATTCTTGAAGTTGATGCTTCGGATATTGGGGTAGGTGCTGTCTTATCCCAAAGAGAGTCGCCTGAAAAGCCATTGCATCCATGCGGCTTCTTTTCTAAACAAATGTCCAAAGCAGAGAAAAATTATGATGTGGGTAATCGCGAACTCCTTGCTATTATTTTAGCACTTAAAGAGTGGAGACATTTGTTAGAAGGAACTAAGGATCCTATCCTCATTTTTACGGATCACAAGAACCTATCCTACCTTAGCGAAGCCAAAAGATTGTCTTCCAGGCAGGCTAGGTGGTCACTATTTTTGTCCCGTTTCAATTTTATTATCACCTATAGGCCAGGTGATCGCAACACTAAAGCAGACGCTCTGTCCAGACAGTTCGAAACTACTGACAAACAGGAGATTGATGTTACTCCTGTCATTCCCCCAGACAGGATAATAGCTACTACTATTTTGTCTATTTCCTCGTCCCTCTTGCAGGCCATACAAGCGAAACAAAGCATGGCACCTAGCGAGAGGCCTAATGATAAACTGTTCGTTGATGTTCCCGAGAGACGGGATATTATGTCATTATATCATGATACTAAGACTGCTGGACATCCTGGTATTTCCAAAACGGTGTCAGCTGTTTCTCGGTATTTTTGGTGGGATTCCTTACGAAAGGATGTCACTGACTATATAAGTGCTTGTACTACTTGTGCCTGTATGAAATCCTCCCGTAGAGTTCCTTGTGGGCTGTTGCATCCGTTACCCGTTCCCGAGAGACCTTGGTCTAACCTGTCCATGGATTTTATTGTTGAATTACCCCCTTCAAATGGTAACACAGTAATCCTGATGATAGTGGATCGGTTCTCCAAAATGGCTCACTTCGTGTCTCTTCACAAGTTGCCCACATCCAAGGAACTGGCTCATATCTTCGCTAGAGAAGTATTTCGATTACATGGGATTCCCGTATCTATTGTATCCGATAGGGGTAGCCAATTTATTTCCAGGTTCTGGAGGGCCTTTTGTTCAGAAATGGGTATTTCTCTCTCATTTTCTTCCGCTTATCATCCCCAGTCTAATGGGGCTGCTGAACGTGCCAACCAGTCTCTGGAGCAATACCTCCGTTGTTTTGTGTCTCACCATCAGGACAATTGGTCTGACCTGCTTCCTTGGGCTGAATTTGCTCGGAATAACGCCACTCATGATTCTTCCGGCAAGACCCCTTTTTACGTTGTCTATGGCCAGCATCCCGTTGTTCTTCCGGCTGCATTCTCCTCACAGGGCATGCCAGTTCTGGATGAGCATTTGGCTGGTTTGCGTAATACTTGGGAGCAGGTTCAGCGTTCTTTGGTGGACTCTGCTACTCGCCAGAAGGCTCAGGCTGACAAGCATCGCAGAGCAGCTCCGTCCTATGTTGTGGGGGACAGGGTTTTGCTTTCCACGCGGAATATTCGTCTCCGGGTGCCTTCTATGAAATTGGCTCCCCGCTTCATTGGACCTTATCGTATTATACATAAGGTTAATCCTGTTTCTTATGCCTTAGGTCTGCCTAAGAATCTACGTATTCCTAATGTTTTTCACACCTCATTGTTGAAACCTTTCGTACGCAACCGCTATACCCGGCATACTCCTCCTCCCCCTCCTATCTCGGTGGAGGGTCATGAGGAGTTTGAAGTGTCTGCTGTTCTTGACTCTCGTTTCCTTAGGGGTCGACTTCAGTACTTGGTACATTGGAAGGGTTATGGGCCTGAGGAGCACAGTTGGATTTCGGCTGATGCTGTCCATGCTCCCCGTCTTGTGCGCTCTTTCCATTCTCGTTTTCCTGCCAGGCCTGGTCCTACCCGCCCGGGGGGCGTGTCCTCAGGGGGGGTACTGTAGCGTTACTTACCTTAACCGGGGGCCGGTCGCGGTCCTCTCTTCAAGCCGCGCGCGGTCCTGCGGCTGCACGAGCCGCGCGCGGCTCATCCGACTGCTTCAGATGGAAGGCGGGCAGTGACCGCGTGAAGCGGTCACGTGTCCCGCCTGAAACTAAGAGCGCGCCGCGAGTCTCGGGCGCGCTCTTAAAGAGACAGTGGGAGCCTAATTGCCAAAAGGCTCCCATTGGCTCCTGTCATACCACACTCCCTATACAATTACCTATAGGGGGTGTGGAAGTGACAGGAGCCAATCACTTTGTTTAAAAGCTATTTAAACTTACCTTTTTCCCTTAGCTCGTTGCCCTATCGTGGTTTCTGTTTCAGTTCCCTTTAGCGCTTGTGGTGTTCAGTTGTGTTTTCTCGTATTGACTTTGGCTTCGTATTCTGACTTCGTTTTCGCTTTATCCTTATCTGTACTGTTTGCCGGCTTGCTGTTTTCCGTGTACCAGACCCCGGCTTGTCCTAGTTTACGCTGTCTCTCTGTGCCCTTGACCTCGGTTTGTTCCTGGCTCTGTCTCCTCTCATATACTTCGAGTCCGGACATTCTAAGGTCCGGTAGACGTATCTCTCCTCTGTATTTGCCTCTGTTTAGCTGGATCCTGCGTGTAGGGGTATATTCTCGTTACACCATCCACCTAAACCCTGTTTCGGTTTAAGATTGTCTGTTTTGTGTACAGTTTAATTAAAATCAAAGTAAACCTTATTTGCCATCTGTGACAGACCGCCTGGCACCCTGACTGGGCACCTCCGCCAACAGATGCTTCCTAGCTGACGCTGAGGACCGTAAGCACCACACCTGACACCACAGTCTCCTTAGCTGGGATCTCACCGTCCTCCTCCCACCATGGACCAACCTCTGATATCCAGGACCATGTGGGAAAGACCTCCCTCCCAACCTGGACCAACCTCTGATATGCAGGACCATGTGGGAAAGACCTCTCCTCCAGGAGAGTATAGCTGTATAGCTCATATAAGAGCTAGTGATATAGCAGTTCCCCTCCAATCACGAGACCAACCTACATGTTGATGGTTAAACAGAACTCACTTATAATGGTGCCACAGCTAGCCTAATATGCAGGGCTTGCGCATCCATAAGGCGGCACATGCACCGCCTTAGGTTGCACCATCTCTGGGGGTGCAAGATTTTACTGGCCGGCAGGAGGGAAGCTCTCTCTCCTGCCAGGCTACCTTCTGGACACTCGGCGCAGCGTGCGGCAGTGGTATAATCAGAGGCGGCGAGGGAGCTCTATTCTCCTCGCTCTGCCCCTTCAGCGCGGCGTTTGCTGATGCCGGAATATGATGTCTCTGAGTGTGAGTGTGTGTGTGTCTGAGTGATTGTATGAGTGTGTGCATGTGAGTGTATGAGTGTGTGTCTGTCAGTGTGTGTTTGTGAGTGTCTGCCAAATCAGTGAGAGTATTATTGTCATTGAGTCCGTGTGTGACTCTCAGTGTGTCTGTCAATGAGTGTGTATGTGTCAGATCAGTGAGTCTGTCTGTCAGTGATGTCTGTGTGTTTGTCATTGAGTGTGTATGACTGTCAGTGTGTATACACCACTGAGTGTAGCGTGGCGGAGCGCGGTACAGGAGAGGTAGGAGGCACACCAGGAAGGGGAGTGTGACCACTAAAGGGGTGGGGGGTGCACCAAGGGACAGGGAGGGGAGAGAAACCGACCACATGCATGGTTTCATGCCCAAAACAGTTTAATTGAATTAGGCTGTGTGGCTGGTCTATTTCAAACAGTCGAAATACTGTTCGAATTACCAAACGTAATGGTTGATGAACATAGTCAGTGTGTGTCCCTTGTTCGTGGGCTTCGACTCACCGAACGCCGTTTCACTCCTGTTCGAATAGCCTGAGTTCCATGGAAAGTAACTGTTCAGCTGTGTTCGTGCCGTTGCGTGTCCGATTTGAGTTCCATTGTGCCGGAACCAGCCTCGCCACTGGGCATTGGAGAAGACTGATTGCCAGCCTCCTGCCCTGCGACTATGGCCCTGGGATGTATTGCCCTTCTAGGAACTGATTTGGGCATATTGTATTTTATAATGCTGCTGCTGGCCCTTTAAAAACCATCTGGGGACATAATGTGGAGTTACTGGGTGGCCACCATTTCATGAATCAGAGGCACATGGTGCGAACAATGGATGGCGGCCATTTTAACTCACAGACACTGTTTGGACTTTTCTACACGGTGCCATCTCGCCAGTATTTGGTGCACAAAGACATCGTGCAGTAGTTTTAAACTATACAACAGGGGATTATACAGTAATTATTTTTCATATAGCCTGTATATGTTCTGTGGAATCTGCATTAAACTGTATCTTCCAAACTACTGAATGGATCTGGGTGAATTTTGGATATTTTGGATATGTGGTTCACCCAGATCCCCCGGTTCCGAGGATATGGGGTTATTGCATGTTTTGGGGTCCCTGTGATATGTTTTATAATACTGTATTTCTCTGCCTGTGATAATTATATTAACCATTGTGTTCAGTAATCATATCACAGGCAGAGGGGAGGATTTTGTGTGGGAGTGTCTGTGTGTATTGTACGAATTGATTGGTTGTATTTCAAAACCCTGTGGGCAATACTATGTTTGTGGATTGTGAATAAAAGAGGCTGTATATGCCAGTACAGTCAGTTCTGCTTGACCTCAAAACGAAGTGTTGTCTCATTATTGGGGGAATTGGATTGTATGTTGATTGCCAGGAGTGTAAGCTGATTGTATCCTTTTCCTGTTCAGCGGTTTACAGTATTCCTATGCTTGAGAGCATTCGTATGCTTCTCCGGTTCGGTGGTTGTGGTGTCGGCTAGAGTGCTTGGAGTCCTCAGGAAGCGCTAGGAGCATCCTTCAACGGAGGTACCCAGTTGGGGTGCCAGGTGATCCGTTACATCCATTAACTCGACGACAAAACACAGCTGAACATGTTACAGTTACATAGCTGAAAAGAGACTTGCGTCCATCAAGTTCAGCCTTCCTCACATTTGTTTTTTGCTGTTGATCCAAAAGAAGGCAAAAAAACAGTTTGAAGCACAATTTTGCAACAAGCTAGGCAAAAAATTCCTTCTTGATCCCAGAATGGCAGTCAGATTTATCCTTGGATCGAGCAGTTATTACCCTACATTGAAAGATTATATCCTTGAATATTCTGTTTTTGCAAGTATGCATCTAGTAGCTGTTTGAACATCTGTATGGACTCTGATAAAACCACTTCTTCAGGCAGAGAATTCCATATCCTTATTGTTCTTACAGTAAAAAATACTAAACAAGATGGCCGCCGCCACGTGTTTGACTATACGAATGGTGACCAGCCAGCCATTCGTCAATTTGGCGGCGGTGCAATTTGGCTGCACACTCCACTTGCGTGTGGTCCGGCTGTTCAGTGGTTCGAAGTGGCACTTCAAACCACTTCAAAAGTTCAAAGAAACATTGTTCAAAGTCCCAATAAGCACAAATAGGGTCTCCGAACCACAACAAATCAAAGGGGCCATAGTCACAGGGTAAAAGGCTGGCAAGTAGTCCCCTCCAAACCCCAGTGGCAAAGTGGCTTTCGCCACACTATCTATAGAAGTTGAATGTTTTGTTTTTTAAATCTGTTTTATTAAGGTTTTGTATGTATAGAAACAGACCTTTGTCAATACAAACATTTTCAATAGTGAGGACTCGCAGGTCCTGGTTGCACATAGCATAGTAAGGTCGCGTACATAGTAGGTGAAGTGTTCATCATGTATAGAGGCCGGGTACTTTAAGCAAGCGCACAACAACAATCAGCATATGGTATGGTACAGTACTTCCCTTCTCCACCTGGCACCAATTTGTGTAGCTGTAGGCCATCCCTTGGAGCGTCATGCTTTTTGTGTGTACCCTACAACCCATGGCACTCGGTGCTAAGTGTCTAGAGAGGTGCTACGCTATGGTGGGGTCTCAACCAGACCGGGTGTTGTTGACTTTCAAGGAGTTCCATGTGGCTACTAAGGCCGCTCACTACATACAAATATGGGCCTGTGTGTGTTGCCAGTGATTATAAGGCCTTTCATGGGTCTGTCCGCCCCAGCTATCCCGCCCTTTGAGGGTTTGCCTATGTCCATAAGCCATTGGTGGAGTTCGTGATAGGCGCGAATGAGGTAACTATAGTGCTGTCTTTCTATGATCGCACTGACTGGTCCCGGACAAGATACGGGCTTAACACTATAGCGTGAGTGTGTCTTATCCATTTGCTCGTGTATATGTAAAGGTTACAGGTGAAAATCAGAAGTAGGTTGGTAGAGAGGGAAGAAGAGTTGCCCCAGGGCCTAAGTATAGATTAGGTAGGGTAGAATAAAGAAGGCAGGAATGGTCACGCCCTGTCGGGCCAGCTGTCCCCCCCTGCGCGTCCCCCACCCGTTCCATCCTGCCCTATCAGCTACGGGACACAAATGCGAACCATGGCTGCCACATCTCTGCGTGTCTGTCCCCCCTGCCAATTAGTGAGGCTTGGATCGCCTCCGCTCCCTGAATGTTCTCCACCCTACGAATCCATTCCTCCATTCGGGGTGCCTCCGTCTTCTTCTAATATAGCGGGATCAGGGCTTTGGCTGCATTGAGTAAATGACGTAGGATCGATTTGATTTTTTTTTGTACATGGCAATTGACATTTTCAAAATATATAGAAGGGGCAGGGCCGCTGTCCATTCTGTCGTTTCTCCCATGATTTCGGTTATCTTCTCTCTGATCATCTCCCAATATGGGACGAGAAGGCGACATTCCCACCATATATGTATTGTCGTGCCTCTCTTCTCGAGGCATCTTCAACACGTCGGGGGCGTCGTCGGGAAGATCCTGTGGAGCAGTGTCGGGGTCCTATACCAGAGTGCGATTAGTTTGTAATGAATTTCTTGGTAATGTGAGCTGATGGAGCTTTTGTGTTGCCATAGTAATGCACCCTCCCATTGTTGGGGTGTAAAGGTGGTGTCCATCAGCGCCTCACACTGCCTGCGGTAGGTATCGTTCTCCACCAAGTGCCCCACCAAAAGATGTTGGTAGGGGGTGGATATCGATTTTTCCAGTGATGAGCCCCTCTCGCATCTCGCCTCGAACTAAGTGAGGTCCCTGTGCAGTCGTGCCTTGTCACGTACGGCGTCATAATAGTGCTTTACCAGCATGTAGCGTAGCACTATCAGGGGAGTCCGGGGTGTCTCTCCCAACAGGGAGTCCAGGGACCGCACGGCGCCATCTCACAAAACTGTGGAGATGGGGATATGTTCACGTCCCTCCGCAAAGGACCATGCTCTTGATGGAGAAGTTGAATGTTAATCCATAATTAGCCAACTTTAATGTATGTTGATTTTAAATATAAGAGACAAAGATTAATTAAAGTATTACTTCAGAAAGCAACAAGTGAGATTTATTTCGGTATCATTGTACAATAAGCGCAGGGTGACTCCAACTCAAAAAAGTTCACCCATCCACCCATCCAAATCCATCCACCAACCAATCCATCCATCCATCCATCCATCAATCCATTCATACAAACACACATCCATCCCCCACACACACCCTGTTTCGGTTTAAGATCCATTAAAATCAAAGGAAACCTTACTTGCTATCAATGTAACAAAAGAAGGGGGGGAGGGTGGAGTGGGATACAGAATTGAAGAAGGGAGGGGAGGAGGGCATACCAAAATTCTGTCATAGTTTACAACCACATTTGCTGTGAATTTTACATATTCCGTGTATGTACATGCAAATTGTCAACGGATCTTTGCTGTAACCCTAATGTTTTGTACATCCCTTGTTTTTTTGTCCCTATCGTATTCTTGCAGTTCCTATTTGCCTGCCTTTCTCTGCTACTCGACTCCTTGGGCCTACCTGTCTGGGCGTCCTCTAGTTGTTGGGGGCCTACTCGGTCTCCCTTTGTCCCACATCCTCCAAGCCTCTGTGGCTGTTGTCGTCATGGGGAGGACCCCACGATGACAGTTTTCGTATAAGTGCTGGGTATCTATTTCTTTGCAAACCTCTGTCACTAGTGGTGGCCTTAAAGCTTTCCATAATCTCGCTATTGCCTTCTGAGCAATTAGAAGGATGTGGAAGGCCAGTTTCTGTACCTCTTTGGGTGTGTTTTCGGGCATGTGAAGCAGAAGACACATTAGTGGTGTGAAGGGGAGTGTTGTGTGTGTGGTTGCTCAGATCAGTTGGCAGATATCCCGCCAAAAGCCAGTAATGGGTTCACACTGCCACCATATGTGGAGTGCTGTTCCCTCCCCCTTTCTGTACCTCCAGCACACCAGGGACAAACCTGGGTACAACTTGTGTATGCGTGTGGGTACCATGTACCACCTATACAGCGTTTTTCTGTATTGCTCTAGTAATGTTTCTGACTTAATCAGTCGTCTGGTTGTCACTATAGTGTACTCCCATTGGTCTTTACGGGCACTGTAGGTCATGTACCCATTGCTTAGCTGGGCTAGAGTACGCAAAGTGTTTTGTGGGTAGCACCAGGAGAGTGGCTTACACGTTGGCTTCAGTGAGCCCTTAATAGTCATTTGCTCCCAGCTCATTACAGCTAGGGTGGTGTCGTCTGGGGTGGTGTGCTTATGCATGAAGGAGCCCAATTGCATGTGGGAGAACTGTGAGGCCATCGGTATGTGATATTCCTCTTGTAGGGCTTGAAAGGTTTTTAGTTTGTTATGCATGAGCATTTTGTACAGGTGGTATCTATACCATTTTGTACATGGTATCTATCCATGGTTTGGCATATGTATGTTGATTTTAAATGTAAGAGACAAGGATTTCTTAAAGTATTACTTCAAAAAGTAACAATTGATATATATTTTAGTATCATTGTACATTGTACACTAAGCACAAGGTGACTCCAACTCAAAAAAGTTCACACTTCAAAACGGATGTCTAATTAGACTCATTTTAATTTGGAAAAAAATAATAATAATGTAAACGACTTCATGAAAATCCAGTACATGTGGATGCTTCCTGGTTTCGAAATATAATACTTTTTGGTTATCTTATTGTACTTCTATTTTAATTTTTTAATTTTCCAAATGTTTTTGCTGTCACCATGTTGAATACATTATCACGGTAGGCAACTCTGTTCCACCATGTTATTACAGGTGTCGGAGGTGTTGGATTCCTTCTATGTTTTACCAATAGTTGCAATAGTTGCAACTCTCTGTTTTCTTTTTTAGCCATCACGTCCAAATTTCCCTGCTACCTCTTGTCACAAATCCCCACGGTATCCTTTAGATTGTAAGCTCAGGGGCTAGATCTCCGCTTACGAGCAGGGCCCTCTCTACCTTTTGTATTTGTCTGTGTATATTGTACGTTCTCCACTAATTGTCTGTTGGCGCTTTATAAATACCAGTAATAAATAAATAAATGTGCTCCTATTATACTGTTATATAATGTGGTTTTATACCACATCAGATTGAATTCAGAGCCCACACGTACATTACATGTTGCTCCATTATTGTTCTGGTTAATTCAGTATTTCTTGGCATAGTTACCGTTTGGATAATACTGAATGAGACCAACATTTGAATTGCAAACCCTACTTTATTTTCCTTTGTTTATGAGTTTAGACAATTTGGCTGTGACCCAGACCAGACCTGGGAAGCTAATAAAGGAAAGCCCAGCACATGCCAAGGTCCTTCATGTAACAGATCCAGGGCCGGCGCTACCATAAGGCGGCCCAGGCGGCCGCCTTAGGGCGCACCAGCCCTGGGGGCGCGACATCAGGCAGACAGGAAGGAGGGAAGCGCACCTGGCTCCCCTCCAGCTGGTTACTACTTGTAGAGTGGCCGAGCGCAGCCCAGAGATTCCCGCCCGCGGAGCTCAGCCTCGGCCCGCCCACCTCCTATCCTGGTGTCTGCCGCAGGCTGTGTGGAGGGGGCGGGGATATGAATGACATCATATCCCTGCTGCCTGTGTCCCACACAGCGTGGCTGGCGCCCTGTGATGGGGCTGGGCTGCAGGACGGGACTCCACAGAGCCGGACAGCATGCACACAGGGGACAAGATTTAACAGATATAAGTATGTAATTATGTATGTCTCTGTATGTATGTATGTATATATGTCTCTGTATGTATGTCTGTATGTATGTCTCTGTCTGTATGTATGTATGTATGTCTGTATGTATGTCTCTGTCTGTATGTATGTATGTCTGTATGTATGTCTCTGTATGATGTCTGTATGTCTCTGTATGTATGTATGTCTCTGTCTGTATGTCTCTGTCTGTATGTCTCTGTCTGTATGTATGTATGTCTGTGTATGATGTCTGTATGTCTCTGTATGTATGTATGTATGTCTCAGTATGTCTGTATGTATGTCTGTGTATGTCTCTGTATGTATGTCTCTGTATGTCTCAGTATGTCTGTATGTATGTCTGTGTATGTCTGTATGTATGTCTGTATGTATGTCTGTATGTCTCTGTATGTATGTATGTCTGTCTGTATGTATGTCTCTGTATGTCTCTGTATGTATGTATGTCTGTATGTATGTATGTCTGTGTATGTCTATGTATGTCTGTATGTATGTCTGTATGTATGTATGTCTGTATGTCTCTGTATGTATGTCTCTGTATGTGTGTATGTCTCTGTATGTATGTCAGTATGTCTCTGTTTGTATGTATGTTTGTCTCTGTATGTCTCTGTATGCCTGTATATATGTATGTGTCTGTATGGCAGTATGTCTCTGTATGCATGCATGTCTTTGTATGCCTGTATGTATGTATGTGTCTGCATGCCTGTATGTTTCTGTATGCCTGTATGTATGTATGTGCCTGGATGTCTTTGTATGTATGTTTCTGTGTGTCTGTATGTGTCTGTATGACGGTATGCCTCTGTATGTATGCATGTTTTTATATGCCTTCATGTCTCTGTATGCATGTATGTCTTTGCCTGTATGTCTGTATGTCTCTGACTGACTGTATGTGTCTAAATGTCTCTGTATGATTATTTCTGTGTTTGTATGACAGTGTACCTGTATGACTTTGACTGTGTGACTGAAAAATTATGCCTGTGGCTTGGGAGGAAATACACACAGGTGAAGATGCATTTTTTTTTTTTAAAGGAGGTTGAGGGGCACCAAAATGCATGTTCGCCTGTGTAACTAAAAATCCTAGCACCGGCACTGAACAGATCCCCCTGTTTTGCGTTGGATCTGTAATATGTGTTGTACCAGCCTCCTACCATGTTGCCTGGGAACCTCTACCTTTTGTTTTCCTGCCATCATCCACATTTCCCTGCACCTAAGAACAAAAACTGTTTCTGGCCCTTTAACTGTGTTGTGCAAAGAATGGGTACGTTTGATATGGCACTTCAGATACAGCCGAAGTGCCGAAGTAGTCGAAGTGGCCGCCATTAGACAATCGAACATGTGGCGGCGGCCATTTTAATGCAGTTGAACATGGTCAGCGGTGTGTGCCGTCAAATCCCTGGAACGGAAATCAGCCACACATTTGAACGAACACCGCTGACCCGTACCTTCACCGACCCTTCGACACTGCGGCTGGAGAACACACGTTCGAATGGGACTTTGTCATCTTTTTGTGTAAAATAGACTGCAACTCAACTAACGACCACCGAGGAAATTTAACCCTGTTTTACTTCGACATCCGCCTTCGGATGGGACTTTGTTATATTTTAAGGCAGAAATAGACCGACCGCACAGCCTGAATCTGTGGAACTGTTTTGGGTATGCAAACAGGCGTGCGGTCGGTCCAAAGAAACTTTTCAATATCTCTGGAACCCCTGAACGGATTTGTACGAATTTTGAATATGTTTGTCCCCAAGTTGTGTTGTTCATAAAAATATAAGTTTTATTCCTGTAGGATAAAAAATCATAAAGTTATAAAAATGCATAAAAAAGTATAAGTTTTAGCTTGGAGATAATTGAGTAGAAACAGTAAGAAACTCAATTATCTCCCAAGCAGAGGGGAGGGAATCTGTGGGTTGTAACCATTGTCTGATTGGTTGAAATCTAATTGCCTGTGGGCGTTTCCCTTGCAGGGGAGCACTGCATAAAAGCAGAGTGTGTGTCATTAAACCTCAATTCTTCTTCACCCTCAATCTAGAGTCCTGTCTCTTATTGGAGGAATTGCTATATCACTACAGGGGATTGCTATGCTCTGCATGCACCCTTGGATAATCACTTCAAAGCTCTTTTAAGAGCTTGTTCCTGTCTTGTTCTCGGAAGGGGTCTACGGTGGTTATGGTGTCAGCTGGAGTGCTTGGAGCCCTCAGGAAGCGCTAGGAGCATCCAATAACGGAGGTACCCAGTCGGGGTGCCAGGTGATCCATTACACTTCAAACCAAGGTCCTTCTTTATTAGGAGCTCACAGCAAAGGTTTCATGGCTCATTGGGTCGTCTGAAACATCAACTGTTTTGCTGTGAGCACCCTATAAATTCTTCTTTTATTATATAGTTATTTGTTTTGTTTTTTTAGTGCACCCTTTTGAGTATGTGCCCCCTTTTTTATCTGTTGCATATTACCAAACACATTGTGTGACCTGATCTTTTAATTTTGTTTAAAATTGTCTTTAAATATAAACAGTGGCGTACATACCACGGTCGCAGGGGTCGCAGCTGTGACTGGGCCCCTCACTCCAGGGGGCCTGGAGGCAGCTGCGACCATGAGCCGTCTGGGTAACTTATGGGCCAGTGCACAGTCTCATCGGCCTTGGTCCGCGCTTCCCAATGTTAGCAGGAGGGGAAAGCTGTGCTGTGCTGCTCCCCTCCCACCTGTATGTAGCGTGGCCAAGCTGTCTGACAGGTAGTGCTCACTGACAGCACTTCCTGTCAGACCGGGAACCACGGCAAAGAAATGCTGGTCCTGGAAGGGAGAGAGAGAGGTAGGAATGGGGCACAGGGAGGGGAGGGGGGAGAGAGGGAGCAATGGGATACATGGAGGGGATCGGGGGAGAGAGAGTGATAGGGACACAGGGAGTGGGAGAAATGGGACACAGGGAGGGGGCTGGGAGGGAGGAGAGTATCGGAATCATAGAGAGGCTGAGGGGAGAGGAAATGGGACACATGGATGGGCTAGGTAAGGGACACATGGAGGGATGGAGGGGGGAGAGGGAATGGGAATGGGACACATGGAAGGGCAGAGGGAGGGGCTATGGGTTCGAGGGAATGAGAAAAATGGGGGGACAAGTCAATGAGACATGAAGGAGGATTGGCTCCAGGAAACATTTTGTATCGGGGCCCCGGGGTGGATTCTAGCTATGCCTCTGAACATACATAAAGTGTGTCTGAAACATGACAGTTCAACGTTTAAAGAAACACTATAGCGTAGGAAAACAAACATGTATTTCTAATGCTATGGTGTTCTACTCCATATTTAGATCCAAGGCCACCCTAAATTTAAATAAGTGTTTTACTTACCCTTTTTCTCTGAACTTTCTCTGTGTAGCTGCTCACTCCTACTTCTGTAGGATATGTTCATGGAGGCCATCTCCTCTTCGCATAGGGAAGCATTGAATCCAGTGCTTTCCTATGGTAAGCATTAGAGGATATTTAACGTCTAGGCTGCAATGCGTAAGGACGTCAACCGACACATAACAAAGTTTGACTCTGACACAGCAGTGTAAGCATCCTCTAGTGGCTCTGGGGATGACAGCTACTAGACGTATTTAAGCCCAGCAATGTAGATATTGCTGTATTATCATTAGCATTTACATAGCACAGACATATTCTGCAGCATTTTACAATCATAGTATTGTAGGACAGGGTCACTACGCTAGAGATTAAGTGGTCTGGGTTCCTATAGCGCATTGAGATGTTTTCCTGAAGGGGTGCAGTTTTGTATCGTAAACCACATAACCTTAAGAAGCAGAACTCCCACTTTTATTAATTAACCAACAAGTTTCTTGTTATAAACATAGCAAATGAGTGGTGTTATCATGCAATGGCATTTCCAATCATAAAATATTACTGGGACTAATGTGTTTCAAACTGTAGCCACAATACATCTGTGTTGCAATCAACCAGTGCGTTAGCATTGATGGATGTAGGAAAATATATAGGAATTTTCTTCTCATTTCAGGTGTAGTACAGGCTGATTCCACTCCAGAAATATGGATGCCCCAAACAGACGTGTGGTTATCAATGTTGGTGGGGTTAGATTTGAGACCTATGCCAGCACTTTGCAGACATTCCCGGGGACAAAGTTGTCCAACCTTGCAGAATCCACGGCCTACAGTACGACCGACTATGACCCGCAGCGAAATGAGTTTTTCTTTGACCGGAATCCTGTGGTCTTTGGGTATGTGCTGGATTTCTACAGGACCAAGCACCTCCATTGCTCAGGAGATATGTGCAAATCTGTGCTAATGGAAGAGCTAAACTTTTGGGAGGTGAACAGTAGCCAGATGTCCTATTGCTGCTGGCTGAAAATGAACAACATGGTCAGCAATTTGGAAGATATTGGCATGTGGGATGAGGTCTCGCACCATGACCAGCAGCTCCTTGTCCAGACTGATAGGGTGGATTATGGCTGGCGTGCTCGGTGGCAGCCAAAAGTGTGGACCCTCTTTGAAATGCCCTTCTCGTCACTGATCTCTATGGTAAGCTGGTTCATTTTTACCTACACTGGAGACCATGAGTTGTTGTCCTCTTTCTCACTTGCTTTTCTAAATTATAGGGGGATTCCTTTGATCTCACCAATTTAACCATACATGATTATTCACTAAAGTTTCAATTTAGGTCAAAATAGCTGAACTAGAAAATTAATTTATGCTTATAGTTTGGCTGCTTTGGCCTTTGAATTTGAAGTTCACTTTGAATCCTCACTTTAGTAAACAACTAATAGTGTCACATCCCACTGGGACAAGCACAATCACCAAACAGACAAAACATACTTGTATTTGGAAGATTGTACCAGATAACATACACTTCTAGTATTGACATGTGGTAGATATTACTAAGTGTCCAGAATACGAACTCCATTAACGACTGGGGGAGCTTGTCCTCAGTGCAGCTTTATGATTTTTTAAAGAAGTGGTCAACCTAGTGAAAAAAATCACTGAGGAGCAATGGAATAACTTCAAACAAATATTAGAGAGATATATTTCTCAGTATGTACCATTGGTAAATAAATATAAAAAGAACAAATTGAAACCAATGTGGCTTAGTGGACAAGTAAATCAAGAAATTAAAAATAAGAAAAGGACATTTAAAGCATTAAAATCGGACAAAAAAAATCTGAGACATTTTATATAAGCTATAAGAAAGACAATAATGCATACAAAAAGGCGATTAGATTCGCTAAACTATGAAATTAGGAAGTTATAGCCAAAGCAAGTAAAACAAACCCCAAAGCAGTTTTTTAAAGTACGTAAACTAAAAAAAAAAAAAATGTACGGACACTGAAAACCAGAAAAAGGCTGACATTTTTAATAACTATCTCTTCTCACACATTAAGGAATAACCTATAGCTAGCGAGGCAATCCCCTGAAAAAGGGGCCATAGTGTGTTGTTTTGGGTGAAAATGAATAGAAGACCTAGTCTTATTTTCGGGGAAACATGGTAGTTGCATTCTATGAAGAAGTAGAAGTATAGATCACTATGTTGTTGTTGTGGATGTGATCTACTTGAATTTTGGCAAGGCATTTGATACGTTTCCACACAATAGGTTAGTCTTCAAACTCAAATAAATTGGTCTAGACCAGGGGTGGGCAATCTGCGGCCCTCCAGAGGTTTTGGACTACATCTCCCATAATGCTCTTAGGGCCATAATGCTAGCAAAGCATCAAGAGAGATGCAGTCCAAAACATCTGAAGGGCCGCAGATTGCCCACCCCTGGTCTAGATGAAAATTCTTGCTCTTGGGTAGAACATTGGCTTACAGAGTACAGAGTACATAAATGGTTAATTTTCAATCTGGACAAAAGTGGTAAGTGGTGTCCCTCTGGGTTCTGTTCTGAGACTGCTTCTATTTTACATATTTATAAATGATCTTAAAATAAGCATTGAAAGTCATGTTTCAGTGTTTGCAGTGACCCAAAGCTCTTTAACGTAGTACACGGTGAGCAAGATATTACTTTGCTGCAGAGAGATTTATATAGATTGGGGGGCTGGGCACTCAAATGGCAGATAAAGTTTACTGTAGAAAAATGCAAAGTTGTGCACTTTGGGGTAAAGAATGCACAAGCAACTTACACCCTAAATGGTAGTCAATTAGAGATAACGAGAAGAATTTATGAATTGTAAAGACCACAAACTGGACAACAATGTGCAATGCCAATCAGCAGTGGCAAAGGCCAGTAAGGTATTGTCATATATTTAAGGATGAGAATATGATTTTGCCTCTTTATAAATCACTGGTAAAACCACATCTTGAATATGCTGTGCTATTTTGGGCACCTAAAGAAGGATACTGTGGCACTAGAAAAAGTGCAGAGGCGGGCTACAAAATTAATAAAAGGAATGGAATATTTATTAAAAAGGTTAACAAATTTAAACCTCTTTAGTATAGAAAACGGTGCCTCAGAGGGGATATGACATATATCATACAAATATATCCAGGGCCAATAGAAACCATTGTCTGAAAAACTATTCACAAACAGGACTATACACAAGACATGAAGTCACATGTTTAAACTGGATTTAGTCTAAGTAAAAGTAATGGTTGTTTTTTTTTACAGTAATAACAATAAGGATGTGGAATTCTCTGCCTGAAAAAGTGGTTCTATCAGAGTCTTTACAGATGTTTAACCCCTTAAGGACCAAACTTCTGGAATAAAAGGGAATAAAAGGGAATCATGACATGTCACACATGTCATGTGTCCTTAAGGGGTTAAACTAGATGCATACTTGCAGAAACATAATATTCAAGGATATAATTTATAGTTTTTAAATTGGGGGATAATAGCTTCTTGAACCAAAAGTAAATCTTCTTTTGAAACAACAACAAAAATGTGAGAAAGGCTGAACTTGATGGACACATGTCTCTTTTTAGCCTATGTAACTATGTAGCAGTCTGCTTTCATAGCTAATTCCATTACAGATTGAATCTTAATTTTGATGTTTCCACTCTTATATCGTTACAGTGTGTCGCAGCTGTGTCACTTCTTTTCACCATTGCAGCTATAGTGATCTTCTTTGAAGAGACAAAAGAGCATTTTGTTTTTGTGGTGGCGAACGGAACATCTGATGCAGACATTGAATACTTTTCCCTGAAATATGAGTTTGATTACCGCAAGGTGTCCTATTTGCTTTATCTGGAACTTGTTTGCATCTTGTGGTTCATTTTTGTGTTTTTCATACGTTTCTTTTTCTGTCCGGACAAGAAAAAATTCATGAAAAATCTTCTTAACTGGGTAGACTTCATATCTCTTTTCCCAGTCTTTGTGGAACTGATGGCAAGAGGGCAAGTCAAACCAATGGATGACTTATGGATGGTCCTAGGCTTTCTTCGCACATCCTACATTCTCAAGTTGATCAGAATCATCCTACATATCGAAGGCAGTCTCATTCTGAGGGTCCTCTCTGGGACTTTGAAGGCAATTATGAAGGAGATCTTCATTCTCTTGCTGGTCCTGGCTTTTGAAGCACTGTTTTTTGCTACTTTGGAATTCTATGCAGAATGTTCTGAAATAGGAGTAAATCATGAGTCCAGTGTTTTAGGAGACATCTACGCTTCCTGCTGGTGGGCTATAATCACTCTGACCACAGTAGGATATGGAGACATATATCCTGTGACCACTTTTGGCAAAATTGTATCAAGTTTAACAGCCATTTGTGGCATCATGACCATTGTGATACCAATCCCCATCCTAATGATAAAGTTTCAACATTATTACTCCATAGCTTTAGCGAAGGAAAAGCTAAAAAATCACAGGCACAAACAGCAAGGATTATAATTCCAATGAACCAAAATAATATTTACAGCCCCTAGAGCAATAGAACCATTTGCTTATCTGTGATTTGCAACAAATAGTGGATAGTCGTACACAAGATCAAGTACGTGAGCGTCAAAAAAAGTAAAAAAATAATAAATCTAGTCCCAAAATGTGAAGTCATAGGAATATTTATGCAGTTTTATGTGGCCTTACATACAATGTAGCCTCTATTATCTATAAAACACTGACAGGATTCGTACACAGGCTTGAGGCTTTCTGAAAAATGTGTAGATTTAATTTATTAAAAATTTTTTTATATATATCTTCACTGACGCACAGCCCATTCCATTAAAAAGGTGGTCAGCCATATAAGGTACATCCAAAACAGTCAATTAGAATATATTCCTCTTCATATGGAGCCTCCGTATTCAACCCTCGTCCTGCATCTCTTGTTAACCTGTAAATGGCTGACATCCAAAATATAGAGCAATATGACTGTATGGATGAAAACCAAGGCTGGTTTGTATATTTACATGGAGGAAAGGGAGTCCCTGAGAGAGAAATCCGTGCCTACAAGTCCCTAGGATGTAAATGTATTGCCTTCTGATGAGGGATCTTGGGAGGCAGGTCTGCCAATATTTGCTGAGCCACAGATCTTCTAGCCTTGCATAATGATACACTAAAGAGGAACAGTTAAATAGTTACGTAGTTCCCGTCTGATTCACACTAGCTAGTATTTTGTAGATATAATTTTCCAACAATTCTCTGTAAATCTATACCCTGACTGTCAAAGACTGCACACAGGAAGTCCTTGAACCTTTGGAATTTGCGTTGGATGCCAGACACATCCAAATACAGAATAGGAGGATTAAAAAAAAGATACTCAACTTCAACAAACAGCTAACCAATGGGTTTATATATTAAACAGCAAATAAAAAAATGTGAAAACCAAACTTGCTAAACGCAGTCCAAAATTATTTGGAAAATTGAGTGGCAACTATAGGCTACCAATATAACCTTCCCTGCCCACCCCCCATGGTGATGAAAGAGTTAACAACCTTTTTCTCACTTACCTGAATCCAGAACCGATGTCCCTCTGCGCTGGGTTAGGCTCCTCCTTCCAAAATGTCGACTGACATTGGGAACCTGTTGCCTGTCGCATTAGGACAACCCTATAGGAAATCATTGCTGTAATGCACCGCATGAGGACGTCCAGTGTCAGGTGACCAAAATCCTCCTAACAACCCGGAAGTCCCTCTAGTGCCTGTCCAGTAGACAGACACTAGAGGTGGAGTTAACCGTGCAAGGAAATTATTGCAGTTTCTCAATAACTGCAATAATTGCAATTGCAGGGTTAATCTGTCAGGGACACTGCACCCAGACCATTTCAATGAGCTAAAGTGGTCTGGGTGCCTACAGTGTTCTATTTCTTCTTTAACGGATTCGAAATATAAAGTATCATTGTTTCTAATCACAGCATTTTCACTGCAATTTATTTGAAGCTTTCACTCAGTTACCAGATAGATAAAGGAAAAAATTCTAGCCAACAGACATTTCCGTCCACCCAGTATATTATACATACGCGTATCACAATCCTACATGATATGTTAGGAAGTAAGCTCACAGTGTTCTTATACCAGTTTTAATGTTATAGTTTTTATTCCACAAGCATGCTAACATCTGTTGATGCTTAATTAATATATAATTGCTAATATTATTAATGCTAAATGTACAGAGATATTAACCTCTCATTAAAGCAGGCCTTTTATGTTTTAATGTAATAAACATTTCTAATAAAAAATAGCTAATGCTGTATTTCATTCCTTTTCAATATGTGTACACTATAGTCACCAGAACAACCACAGCTTATTGTATGTGTTCTGGTGAGTATAAATCATTTCCTTCAGGCTTTTTGCTGCAAAAGACTGTCTTTTCAGAGAAAATACAATGTTTACATTACAGCCTTGGGACACATCCACTGGCCACTACTCAGATGGCTACTAGAGATGCTTCCTGGGGCAGTGCTGCATAGTGTGACTGACATTCTGTGTCTCCTACCTCTGCATGGAGACACTGACCTTTCCTCATAGAGATGCATTGATTCAATGTATCTCTATGAAGAGATGCGGATTGGCCAGCGCTGTGTTTGACTTGTGCTGGCTCTACCCCTGATCTGCCTCCTTGACAGTCTCCACCAATACTGTGGGAAAGCATTGTGATTGTCTTAGAACAATAATTCTGATGATGTCAGCCAAATAGGCAGATCAGGGGCAGAGCCAGCAGCTGCGGACTTGAACAAAAGTAAGATTTTACTATATTTAGGGGATTAAGGGGGGACCATGTGGTGGTTTTTACACAATAGGGTCAGGAATGCATGTTTGTATTCCTGACCCTATAGTGTTCCTTTAAGCACTGTAACAACATTTCATTGCTGTGCAGGTTATGGAGCAGATATTTCCCTCCACCCGCTCTGCCAGTTGAAAGTCTTATATAACTGCTGAGAATTATGCAGGTATAAATCATTCCTTCTGTAGGACATATATCAAAATGAGGAAGTTACATTGTCTCGAATGAAGTCTCAGATCTGACAAACTTGCATGTGTGGTGTGTTCTGCGCATGCACAGTTAGGATGGATGTAATTATTAGGATGGCATGAGATTACAGATTGGGAGATCTCTGCATACACAGACCATGAATTTGCTATAAATAGACCCTGTGATGATGGGTGAAACTGCATTGGGAGAAAATGTATGTATCCCATAAACTTCTGAATGACATGGTGTATAGGATAATAAAAAATAATAAATTATAACAATGAGAGGGACTGATTTATTCTCTTGGTCATAGATGAGGTTCAATCCCTGCAATTTGTGCCGCTTTGTCTTATGATCCTTCTTCCTGCAGATCATTTAAGGTCTTTCTCCCTGAAGACTAAAGCCTGGTTACAGTCAGCTTCTATTAAGCTCTTTTCTGATGGTGCCTTTTGAATTCATCAGTCAACAGTGACAGAAAAAATGATATGCTGGCGTTTAGGTGTAAATGGGTCCAAAAACCTGTGTTACATTAGCAACACAACTACAGTACAGGGGAGCAAAGCTACAGCCTCTCCATTATCGTCCCTGTTGTAATGGAAAAGGAAACAAAAAGGTGGTGACGGGGTCCCCAGCTTTCAGGACCATTTGCTGTGCCACTTTATAAATGAGGACAATGGGAAACAAAACAAGGCCTGCACTGAATATGTGTTTATACCCAGCTACCGAGCTGGTCATGAAAGCACAGCCAGCCAGTTACAATGTGGGTTTCCTCTGGGGTTTACTTGGTCTGCCCTTCCAACGATTTTAGTGAAAAATGAAAATGCTAAATATTAAATATATCGGGCGTTCTTGTCTACTCCAGACACTATGGAATCCTGGGGCCCCCTGTGTTATTTATTTTCCTTATTGAGAGGGCCAGCCATGCATCACACAAGGAAAGAGAGTGCCCCCCTCATATAGCTTATAGAGATATCTTTAACTTCTGATTATAGTTATATTTTGTGCAAGAAGGGAGGCAGGGATACAGCCATGACCATTAAAAATTGAATAGACTACCTGCTAGATGACCTGATTTTATTTTGGGGAGCACAGTTTATTAATAGGGAGCTATCTTGGGTGATACTTTTTTTATAACAAAGTATATGGTTTGAACAGACTAAATGGACAAACAAGTACATATTTCATAACAATGATATGAGCGTTGGATAACCTTCTTGAAAACAAGTCTTTTGGAAAATACAACAGTGTTTTCCCACAAGAGGGCGCAGTTACCCTATTGAAATAATAGCTGGGCTCATTCACGTAATCACTTCTCTTTAATTTAGATTTTAAAATTCTCTCTACACATGTATTATTTATGTTACTACATAAATAAATTAGATACACGTTTAAAGATAACTTGGGAAACGGCATAATACAACATCAGCAAATGTAAATACATTATGTAAAGAGAGTTTACAAAGTTTGTTTTCAGTAATTGTTTAAAAAATGTAGTTATTTTAGCTGATATCACTAAGTCCCCCAAACCTTTATTTTTATTGAATCATAATTATCTCTTTGACGGCTCTGACAGGACAGGAATACACATACACAAAATGTCTATACACATACAAAGCAGCCACCACACATACAACTCTTAACCAGCACGCACAGACACACTCAGCCCCCCCCCCCCAGCCATACAGCTCTCTCCACACTCTCTCATACACACAGCACTCAGCCATTACAAACACACATCACTCACAAAAACAGAGTCCAGGGACAAGGGTTAATCTGGCACCGTGCCAAGGGCCCTGGCCAACCTTAATCCGGCTCTGAAGAGACAGGAGAGAGGGATTGGTCAAGCATAATGACGTATTAACCCCAAACCTGATATGATAACCATGCACTGCACTATGCTGTATGAACCGTGAACCATGATGTATTAACACTGCACCATGCTGCATTAAAGGGTTAGTCCAAATACCATGACTACTTCAGTGATTTGAAGTGATCATGGTGCTTGGAATCTGTTTGTTTCAGTTTGAGTTTGAAAAATGCGCATACAGAGATATAGCAGGGTAACTCCACCTCCTGCAGTGTAATTAGAGCAGGATCATCCAGTTCAGTACAAGTGTTCCTGGCAGCTAATGTTAATTCTGTGCATTTGGACATCTGCCGTCAGTGCGCACAGCATGTCGGAGACAGATAACCAATAGTGACACAGCCCATGCTGCCCATGTCCTTCCAGCAGCCCGTCCTTTAGCCTACAGCAGGGGAGAAGGGGGGTGTGGGGGGAAGCGATGTCACCAGAGGACCAGGCTGCCAGGAGAACTTGGTCTTGGCCTTGGAACGGAGGTAAGTTACGCTTTATTCTTTTTGTTGTTTTTTTCACTGTTATGGATGAGAGACCAAATCAGAAAGTATTACTCTGACCAAAAACAGTGTTTTATCAAAGCGTGTTATGGTAAGAGTAACCATTGCTTGAACCTCACACCTGGAGTGTTAACACTGCATCTACATCATTAACCTCAAACATGCTGCTTTCAACTTGAACGTGTTATTTTTCCCTCAGTATTCAGGAAACTCTGATGCAATGCAAAACAAGACATAATGTTATATAAACAAATAATTATTTGTAACATAATGATATACAAGGTTAACAACGAAGTGGTAGTGGGACAATGTGGATAACCTTCGAACCTCCAATAAAGCTGCAAAACATCCAACAAATGCAATGGTGGGTGACCCCAACCCTGATTTATATCTTTATGAAATCGTAGTCTTCGAGCAGGTTTCTGGAGTTTCTGCGTGGTCTGCAGTCTGCAGTTCTTGGACCAGCTAGCAATTGGCAAAACTGCAAGCTGGGCCACACCAAGAGGTTTTTAACAGAACTTAGTATTGCTCTGCACAAAATAAAAACTTATATTTATATTAAAAAAAAAAAAAAAAGGACAAACCTTCACTGACCAACAAAATATTTAATTAATTATTTATTTATATATTTATTGTCAGAGAAGGCAAAAGGGAGATTCCAGTGGTGATGAACCCGAAGGTCTTTTATTATTATTTCTACTGCGGGAAGTACAATCTAATTTATTTATTTTATCTGTCCCACAGAAATTGCATACAGTGTACATTCATGTAGTGAATTGAGCTCACAGGGCAATTTACTTTGGGTTCTCTCTATATTTTCATACAATACTGCCTGGAAATGAGATCTTAGATCTGGAGGAGATGGAGAATCAGATGTAGGGACATTGGAAACGACTGGTAAACATAGACGTTCCTTCCTTCCGAGCAATTTCTTGTCCTGATTTGACAACTGTAATGAAACATCTGAACACCACCAACTGTACTCCAAGGTTAGAGCCCGATCATATCTCTCTGAACTGACACAGAACAACTGTTACTTTCGGTTTCATCTGAAAAAATAAATTAAATTATCTCCACATTAGAATCTGGGTTTTTTTTCCGCAAGAATAGTTGCACGCCAAGATTTATCAGTATCTCACAGAGTAGATAAATAAAAATGACTCCTTGTGATACTTTTATGACTACCAAAGCACCATGGGGATTGGAGCTCTGTTCCACAACAGGTGAGAATCTGTCTTTCTATCAACCCATGTTCTACTGCATCTCGAACTAATGACATATAAATTATATATTGGTTTAACCTTTTGCATCACAGCAAAGCTAGATCAGTTATTATCATTATTATGATATTTATAGAGCGCCGTCAAATTCCGCAGCGCTTTACAATGGGTGGACGAACAGACATGTAGTTGTAACTAGACAAGTTGGACACACAAGAACAGAGGGGTTGAGGGCCCTGCTCAATGAGCTTACATGCTAGAGGGAGTGGGGTAAAATGGCACAGAAAGGTAAGGATAGTATTAGACTAGTGACAGTTGCAGAAGAGGAATCAGTCGTGAGCTATTAACAGTTTAATTGATAAACTTTTATGAAGAAGTGGGTTTTTAATGATTTTTTGAATGAGTGGAGACTGGGTGAGCATCTAACGGAGGAGGGAAGCGAGTTCCACAGGAACGGTGCAGCCCTCGAGAAATCCTGAAGGCGAGCATCAGAGGTGGGAGTACGGACAGTTCATTACACATTGCTTTGCCATCATAGAGTTTATCCAATAAATCACGAGAGTAATTTCCCATGTTAGATGTTACTCGAGTACTACTCAAGGGCATGTGGCCCGGTTGAGGTGTATGAGATTAGTGAGTTTATGATTTGTTGAGGCGCTGTTACTTATCCCAAGTTGTCTCCACGTTAAGTGCACCATTCAGACCATGGCATCCATACTTGGTTTCACCTGTCTTGTGTAGTTGGTTCCTGTTGGTTCTAGTTTTCTATCAGATTTAAAAGACAACTGTCATCATATTGTCACTTTTCTTTTTAAAAAATGTATTACATTAAATGAAACTCAATTATATAGATTGTATTTTTAAATTTTGCATATGGATTTCTCGTGGAAGTGTCATTTTTTGTATCTGGTTGTGCAGCCATGTTGGGTCAGACTTTTATTTGACTAACTGCTGCTCTTCTGCTCTTGTGTGCTTTACATTTATCTAATATATTAATATGCAAAAAAGACAAAACACATTAGAAGTTCCAAAAAACAAACAAACAAACAAACAAGTAGTGGCGAAATCACAGTGTTGCAGTTGTGTTCTGTTGCAGCCAAAATAAAATGGACATGTAGGACATGAGATCAGATGCACAAAATGCTTCTGTATATATGACATTGTGTAATAGAAATGTAATAATTCAGATGTTATA